ATTGTGCTCCATGGAAAACTGCTTACAAACCAAATGAGGCTCAAAAAGGGTCTGACAACTGATTCCACATGCCCTCACTGTTGTGGGGTGGAGGATATGTCTCACCTCTTTAGAGACTGCTTCAAAGCAAAGGAAGTGTGGTTAGCTATTTTTAACAAACAGTGGTATTTGGATATGATGAGGTAAAATTGGATGGAATGGCTCAAGAGTAATGCTAAAAATATACTTATGTTCAATGATAACACTTCTTGGAAATCTCTCTTTACTGTTGCATTATGGAAAATATGGAAGAATAAGAACTCTATGGTGTTTGAGAAAAAATCTTTTCCAACCCAAGATAGTGTTAAATTTATTATGGATTACTCTAGAGAAATACACCAAGCTTTTCTTCATTCCATATCCAATCCGAGACCTGCCTTTAGACTAATCCATTGGTCCTTGCCTCCTGCAGGTAGGCTTAAGATGAACACTGATGGCAACAGAAGAATTGGAGGTGATGGAGGCTTTGGAGGACTGATTAGAGATGAAAGAGGAGCTTGGGTGTGTGGATTCTACGGAAAATTGCAAAGTGGCACCAGTCTTGAAGCTGAGCTGTGGGCTCTTTACAAAGGATTGACTGTTATCTTGCAAAAAGGAATGAACCAAGTAATCATCGAAACCGACGCAGATCAAATGGTGAAACTGATGCATGTAGACCCAGGTGACAAAACCCCCTTTAAGGACCTGGTACACGAAGCTCAAATTCTTCTCAAAGGCTGTTAATGCTCTGTGCAGCACGTTTGGAAAGAAGAGAATTTATGTGCTGATGCTTTGGCAAAAATGGGAGCCAACCAACTAGCAGATATGCTCGTGTTCAATGATCCACCAGCTGAATTAAGATGTTTGCTAGTCTCAGACATGATCGATTTGTCTAGGGAGAGTAGTTCCTCTTGTTTTGTTTTAGTTTCCGTTGTACCAAAAAAAAAAAGAATTTTGAAAAGAGTTTTGAGTTATATTTTGAGTTTGGAAAATGTTTTAAAGCTTTAATTATAGAGCTCTAATCACAGCTCTAATGAGCTGGCCCACTGATGATGTGATGCATGTATCTTGTTTTATTTTTTTATTTTTTACTTCCTGCCACAACCTCCACCATTAGAGCTCTGAATCATGATTATTTGAGTTTTGAGTTGTATTTTAAATTTTATTTTATTTTTTTTAAAACATTAAAAAATGTTTAAAAAAAATTATTTTTTAATTTAAATATTTTATTTTATTTTGTAAATATTTTAATTTTTAATTTTAATATTTTAAACTCAAATACAACTCCACACACAAATCGTAACCAAACACATAACTTAAAATTCAAGTAAAAAATTATTTTCAAAACTCATAACCAAACACATAACTCGAAACTCCACACTAATCTAGACTCAAATCGTAACCAAACACATAGCAAAAAAATTAAAAAATTAAAAAATATTTTTATAAAATAAAATCAAATAAAAAATCAAAAAATATTTAAAGTAAAAATTATATATTTAAAATAAAAATAATTTTTTAAATTTTTTTTAATATTTAAAAAAATACAGCACAAAAATATATGAAATGTAATGCACATTAAAATAAATAAATAAATATTTAAAATAAAAATATTTACCCTAAAAAAATAAAAATAAGAAAATTTTTAAATATTAAAAAAAACTAAACCCAAAATAGTTTTAAATATAACTCTTTATCTTTTAAAAAAATAAATCCAAAAATTTTTAAAAGACAACACTCAAATCATGATTCTAAAAATGATTTTAAAAAACAAAATAAAAAAAAATATTTTTTTTAAATAGAGTTTTGAAAAGAGTTTTGATTTTGAGTTTTGAAAATCGTTTTGAATTGAATTTTGAGTTGTGTGTTTGATTATGAGTTTTGAAATTAATTTTTGAATTGAGTTTTGAATAATTTTGAGTTGTTTGTTTGCTTATAAATTTTAAAAAGTGTTTTAAAAATTTGGAGTGTAGAATCATGATTCTGCACACAAACCAAACGCAGAATTTTTTGTAGTTTATATTATGCTACTTACTAATAAAAGTTAAGAATAACAATTTTTTTTAAAAAAAAAAATTAAAGAAAAAAAGGCACATCGTAAGAATGTTCTATGTATATATATATATATTTTGGAGTAAAATTTATGATTGGTGTTATGCTATTTTGTAATAAAATTTATAAATGACAAATTTATAATTTGTCCTTTAAAGTTATAAATGACGAAACTATGCCACTTTGTAGTAAAAATTATCCCTTTTTTATTTTTTAGTGAACACAATATTATTACTTTTTACAGTGAGAAAAGTTATGTCGTTTTGTAATAAAAGTAACAATTTTTTGTGATATTATTAACTGCAAGCCATATGCACCCTTTTAGGGGTGCAAATAGCATTTCCCCCAATTTGATACTAAAGTAAAATACACTCTTCAATTTTAAACTTCCATTGAAATTTTACTTTTGCCCCCTCATCTTCAGATTGTAACGATGAAGTCTGTTGACTTTGGTCATTGTTTGAATATAACCCACACATCACTCATTGTTAAAAAAAGGACCAAAAATACTTACATGATAGCTACATGAGCACTTTTTGAGAGTATTAAACGACAAAATTATAAATAAAATTACACTTCCACCATCCAACTTCCACTCATATTCTATTTTAGTGTGAGGTGGCAGAAGGATTAAATTGATACTCGGGTTAAATTTTATGAACTTACAATTAAAAGGTAAGGAATTAAAATAAAATTTAAGTAATTCTTTAGAAGGTAAAAAAATATAATTTATCCCTGACATTATATACCATTTGACAGAAAATGCAACACTTCCATTTATGAGGAGAAATTTCTAAATATCTATACTACGAATGCAGACTTTCTTCTAATTGGTGAAATGCATTATAATATCTCAACTGATTCTTTCACTCTTCTGAACCACAAACACAAAATAATTTACAAAAAATATAATGGAAGATTGAGATTAAACCCAGTCACAGAGGGACTTACATTCAAAATAAATTTCAACCTAGTGTTCTAGTGAATAGAAAAATGCTTGAGAGCACTAAAAAGGGATCACTAAAGAGAGCACTAATGATGTGGCAGTGGGTCCCGGCTACTTTCTATGCCTTGTTTTTATTTTTTTATTTTATTTTTTTGTGTTTCCCAATGTATTAGTGCTATTAGTGGTGTAGTTTTTAGTGGTCTAAATCATTGTTGTAATGAATAACCTCCCATGCTATGACAATAGCCTTTCTTTACCATAAAGTCCTTTAAGCTGTGTTTGGTTGAGAGATTTGAAGAGGGATTTAGAAAAGAAAATGAAAAAAGTAGGTGAAATTTAAATAAAATATATCTACATTTCACTTAGTTTCATATACTTTTTTCCTTTCCCTTTTCAAATCTCTCTCCAAATCCCCCAACCAAACATAGCATTAGGGCAGTGCATCAAATCCTAGAACCTGCCTAACCCATTTGATCCAGACGGACCAGGACTGTTACAGACGGTTTTAAAGAAAGAAACGGTCGGCTGCGGATTTTTTATTTTGATTTTCACGGGTGTGCGGTTAGAAACGGATTACTCATATACAAACCCACTCAACCCGGCCCAACAGAATGATTTTTTTATTATATACTTGTCATGGAACTACACCTAGTCTTAATCAATCTGACTTTTGATCTTTCGATCTTCAAATTTTCTTCAACAAACCTATAATAAAGACTTGAGTGGTTGTGTTTTTGTTGATTTTTATGTGATGTCTGTTTTCATGTTTTGCCCTAGGCTCTCGGACACACATTTTCTTTCTTAGTAGGGTAAGTTGGACATCTTGTTTTCTCTCTTTTTGAAGAGTCTTCTCTGTGAGACCATTTGGACTATTTCTTTGTCTTTCTTTCTTTTCTTTTCTTCTTCTTTTTTTTTGTTTCTTTTTGTTTCTTTTTAGTGTGTGTGTATATAAAGGTGTGGAATTTAAAACAATTATGACAATTAATTTAGTCTATTCCTTGTTATAATACTAAGACAATCTAAACAGGAGACAACGTACACAATCCACATAAATTGATAATCTTAAAACTAATTGCTTTACAAAATTTTTTTGAACTTTGTATCCATCATACACATCCAAATTTATTTATTTATTTTTAAAATTTTTAGTGATAGTGTTAGTGTTAGTGTTAGTGATCCAAGCACATTGTGAGACTTTTAGGTTGTATCTAGAACAATATTTGTTCACTAGTACCTTCACAAACAGAGGCGAACATGCCTTTAGAACATGTTCATTTGATGATCTATATATTTATTTCTTGAGTTTTGTGGTAATTTATATCCATTATGTTTGATAGTTTGTTCCTTCATTTGACTTATACAAACAGGTACCACAAATATCCAAGAATTGAATCGACCAAATAAAGCTTTGTGGTGACAACGTGGGCAATCATAAATAGGTCTTCAAGACTTCACACCAACACAGCTAGACATGGTCTACTAAAAAATGGTTTGGAACAATAGTACTCTTTGTCAAGATTGGGGTTTTGTTGAGTTTGTTCAACTTTCACTTTCATTTAAAGTATTTCATTGTATAATAATACACAACCCAAGAAATATTTCCTCTTCTACCAAATCCACCATAAATATTAGGTCTTTGCAAAAATTGGTGGCAATCATAAAAAATCATTTACACCATCTTTGTAATTGGTTCATGTTCTCCTGTTAATATAGATTTTATTTTTTGCTTATATATATATATATATATATAAACTAGATGACGATTGACTTTAACCTTCAAATTCTATCCATAAACATAATTCAGTCATTAAACTTCCATTAGGCATCCAAATAATCCTTAATCTCTAAGTCATTGCCACAACAATTTTATTGCGCTTGTGGTCTTCGGTTAATTAATCTATGTATCCGTGCTACAGCTTGCTTCAGTAACATTGTTTGCTAGAACTTATTTCAAGCTAAAAGTTGATTATCTATACACAAACAATAAAATCACACCTTCCCTAACTTCAATATAATCAAATATATAATAACAAAGTGAGCTTGGATGACTAGTGCAAGAACAGGAGACATTTACAATCATCTATCTTCTCGAAGTGAGTAGCTAATAACTACGTCTCTTTTACACAATAATCACGTTGATTCTTACTAGTCATACATTTTTTTGCGAAGAAACAAAAGATATATATATATATATATATATTAATAAGGAAGAGCCGTAATATAGGGAGGACAAGATGCACTCAAACAGAATGAAAACAACAAAATAACAGAGCAAAAAAGTAGACATCCCTAAGACTGAGACTAACAAACGGCACCCAAATCAATAGAAACCAAAAAGCGTGGTATTCTTACTAGTCATACATTCAAATGCTGTTCTAGCACTTCCAAGGCATGGAGATTTTCAAATTCAACGACCAGAATTGAATATTGACTCAGAGCTACACATCGAGTGAGCAGAAGACTTTGGAACCGTTGAAGGAAATGACAAGACAAATTCAGAAGATGTGTCATTAGTCACACTAAATGTACCAATACCTGTGGAATCAAAAAGTATATCTGGCAACAGGGCATTTCCATCTAGGTACTGCATCACTTGCCTCATGCTAGGCCTTGCCTCTTCATTATACTGTGAGCAAAGCAGACCTAACTTCAAAACCAATAACATTTCCTCTTCCAAGTAATTACCTTCCAATCTAGGATCACTTGTCTCAAGAATAGATCCTTGTTTCAAGTTCTCAAGAACCCAATCAACCAAAATCATTTTTTCAGGCAATCCTTGTGGCACTATGGGTCTCCTTCCACAAGCCACTTCAAGCATCAATGCACCAAAAGCAAACACATCGGTGCATGTAGTAGCCTTTCCAGTTCTAGTGAGCTCTGGTGCAAGATAGCCAACAGTACCAACCACATGGGTAGTTTCTGGATTTGCCCCATGATCATACAATCTAGCAAGCCCAAAATCTCCTAGTCGTCCATTTAGATCAGCATCTAGTAAAACATTACTAGCCTTCACATCTCTATGAAGAACAACTTGGTCCCATTCTTCATGCAAGTAGTGAAGGGCAGATGCTATTCCTCTAAGGATTTGAAAACGTTGGGTCCAATTGAGGGTTGGTTCTTCATTGCTAAATAGGAACTTGTCAAGGCTTCCATTGGGCATGTAATCATAGACCAAAAGAAGCTCACCCTTTCGCCGACAATAACCAAGGAGATGCACCAAGTTCCTATGCCTTAACCTTCCCATGCTAGCAATTTCGGCCACAAACTCCTTCACACCTTGTTTTGAATCATGGGAGATTTTCTTGACTGCGACTTGTTCCTTGGAAGAGGGAAGTACTCCTCTATAAACCTTTCCAAAACCTCCTGCTCCAAGAAGCTCTTCGTCTTTGAAACCTTTGGTGGATTTGTAGAGATCCTTGTAGAAAAATCTTTGAGGGCCATATTCCTGTTCCCAATCTTCATGTATTTCTTCATATTTTTTCATCCACACAAAGTATGCAGTTCCTGATATTATAATGATAAACACAATGGATACCGTTATCAATGAAACTATAATTCCTGGACTTGGTTTCTTAGCAGGCTTTATTTTTGGGGGAAGTGAAGGAAGCTTTGAAAGGTCTAGGTTCTGTGCTTGCCCACTTTTGTTAAAGCTCCACCCAAGAATATAGTGGTTACCAGTAAATAGTCCAGTAGAAGAAGAGAAACCAACATACATAGAATCCAAGAGAATTGAAGAAAGCTTGATGTGTGTTGACAGGAGTGGTTGGTCTGGTTTCGGACTTCGAATAGGAGCCAGTGTTACATTGAGTAGATTCTCCACTTCATCATAGTCTATCCAAACTTGCATTGGATCTCCACTTTTGAGCAGCAAACTCTTGTTTTTCTGTTCACTGTTGGAATAATATGAAGCAGGTGCCGATACATAAGATTTTATGCTGTTAATGTCAATTCCAACATGGTTGCCATTTATATCATTGATTTCGACATTGCGAGCAGTATCAAGCTCAATTGCCAACAGATGGTTTGAAGTGTTGCCGTCGTTCTTAGAATTCAGGAGTCCCAAAAACGTGCTTGGTGAAGCTTGGGTGAAGTTTGTCGATGGTGAGATGGTAAACGCAATTCCATGACCACAAAAATTAAAATTTTGTATTTCAGAAACTATGGCAAAGATAAAAGTGGTGGAAAATGAAAGAGTTTGGGGTAACACAGATGAGGATGTATTGAATCTTATAGGAAGTCTGTAAAAAGCATGGCTGATTTGGTCCGTTGAAGTGTTGGTTAGCTGCAATAGACCATTGGGATGGATTTGTGCAAGCCCGTCAAGGTGAAGTTTGGCTGCATGAAAGTCATTGTAGATGAACTGGTTGTGATCTTCAGCTAAGGCCAGGATTTTGAAGTGCACATAGAAAAGTATCATAAAACAAACTGATATTGGAGTGGTACCCATTTACAAAAGTAGGAAAGCTTCTTCCTTGGGAAGATGGATGGGTTAGTTTCTCTTTGTTGCAAGACATCCTATGTATAAATTTAAATTTCAAGGGTGAAGAATCAAGACCTCTTGGCAAGGGTGCTGAGGAGCAATAAATTAGAGACTGTGAGTTGGATGATGTGTCGTATTCAAAGACCACATCTTATGTCCCTGGTAATAAAACTTTGTCCATACTGAAAAATATCGTCAAGGAAAGACCTAGGGCCAAGGATTATTGGTCCCTAAATTTTTCTATCTCCCTACATCCAATCAAGGGATCATGTGAAAATTTAACAACACATGAATCTCGAAATCAAATTAAATGGTTGGGAGTAGGACTGTCAAATGGATCGGATTTCATTTGAATCCGACCCGAACCCAATCCAAAAATCTAAATCCATTTACAAAAAAAATCTGATCTAGTAATCCGATAATCTGAATCTGTTTAATCCGTTTATTAAATGAATTGAATATGCAAAAATCAAATCCAATCCAATCCGATCCGATTATTCTCAATGTGAATGCAGAAAACACAAAATGAAAAAAAAAATGAAATTATGTAAAATTGTTACTCAATAAATAAATAAATGGATCGGATTGGATATCCGAAATCATCGTATTCGGATTCAGATATGGATCCGTGTGATTTATAATCGGATATGGGCTCAACGGATCAGATTCGGGTTTGTCTTAATCGGATTGGATTCGGATTTTGACAGATCCGATCCGAATTCGATCCATTTAAAGGCCTAGTTGGGAGTACCTTAAAATAATAGGCTAGAGGAACTTGAGGATAAAAGATTTAGCCACCTCTATTTCAGATCTCCTAAAAGTGCATGGTCTAATTTTTCTGAATAAAATAAAATAAAAATATAAGATTTTGTGTGATTCTAGTTTGATGCAAAATGTTTCTATCTGAATTGGTTTTTATTGTTGTGCAGTTTTGTCAGGCCTACGTCTATCTTTCAGGGGTTCCACTTTCTTAAAAACTTGCATATACTCTTGCCTTCATAATACCTCAAATTTTTAGGAGATTTATTTATTTATTTATTTTTTAACTAAATGAAGAATCAAAGTCCATCAGGTCAACCAAGAATTCCAATTTGTTGTTAGAGTTATTATTTAGAGTTACACTGAATTTACATATAGAATGATATGGTGACATTAGAACTTATCATAGTAAACCAAAGTGTACATTTCAATGATATAAAACAAGAAAAATGCCACCACCACATGATGAATTTAGAGTAAATCAAACCAATTTCCTCTGAGATTTGGAGAAAATACTAGTAGCCCGCGATTTTTGCATAATTGTATTGACCTCCCTTATAGTAAGATTAATAAAAAGGACACAAACTAATGCAAATACTGTGAAAACATAAAGACAAAAATAAATAAATATACATTTTAATGTAAAGGAGATGAAAACATCATTTTGTCATATTTATCCACACAAAAAAAAACATAATTTTGTCATCTATATGACTAACGAATTATTGATAAAAAGATAATTAAGTGTAATGTGAATTAAACCTTAAGAGAGCCCAATGCGATTATGCCAAAAATGTACGGCTATATTTTCTCCATACCTCAAGAGAGATTAGTGTAATTTACCCTAAATTTAATACAAATTTTTTTTTATGAATAACATTTTTCTATTAATTATAAGTTTTCTATATGAATGATTTTTTTTTTTTTGGATGCGGGGGCGGGCGGTGTGCCGTGGGGTTGGTGTTATACCACTACTCTATGTCATTTGATAGAGAATACAAAACCAAAACTATTGAAGAGCAAGTTCCCAGTACATATCTACATCTACCAATGTCCTAAGGGCTTTCTTCTAATCGGTGAAAATACATTATAATATCTCTCGCTCTGACAATAGCTCATGACTTCCCCATAAAGTCACTCAAGTAAATATTTGATATTTCAAACTTAAGATTTAGGTAAATAACACTTTTAACTCAAATTTCATTTTGGTCACTATTTTTTCAAATTAAACAAATTTTAATTTGATCCTTTTGTTCAATTGGAGATCAAAATTAATGATTTTGAGAAACTTGTGAGTCTCCTGAGATCCACACGTAGAAAACAATAACGAAAATTTGGATGAAAAGATCAAATTGAAACTAGACCTCAAGTGTAGGGATTAGATTGTTCAAATCAAATTAAAATAATAGAGACTAAAGTGAAATTTGAATCAAACTACGAGGGTGAAAAGTGTAATCTACCCTACAAGTTTCTTCAGCAAACCTAATTAATGAAGACATGAGTGGTGATGCTTTTGTTGATTTTATGCTATGTTTGTTTTGACCTAGTCTCATTGATAGTGAGAGGTTTTCTTTCTTGGTAGGTTTGGTTAAACCTCTTACTTGGTCTCTCTTTAGACAGTTTTTTTTGTGAGAATATATCTATATATACAAATGTAGCGTGCTTCTTAAAACTTCCAAACTCTCAAAACTAACATCTCATTCAAAGTTGATGTTATCTCTCTTGCAAAGCAGTTTTTGTAATCTTCCTTCCCTTTTTTCCTAATTCCTAATAAAAAAGTTCCAAAATTAAAATAGAGAGTTGAATTATGTAATTTACTAACGAGTCTTTTAAGAATGAAAAAACACAACAAGATGATGGCAAAAAACCGTCAGAGTATCCTAAACTTAAGCTTGTAGAATGTGACATATCTTTAATATGTAAGTCTTCACGACTTTTCCAAGACTCTGGGCATGGTACGACAAATATCAGGAATTGAAGCAACCAAATAAAACTTGTGGTTACAAAGTCACATATCTTAAATAGGTCTTTAAGACTCAACCAACACAGCTAGAATGTGACTCAATAAATAAGTCTTTAAAACTTTACTATTTAAACACAACTACCATGCTACTACAAAGGTAGTTGGAAGAGTACCTTTTTGATCTCCGAATTTAAATCATACCTCGCCAAGGTTGAACCCAATCCAGAATACGAAGCATACAAGAAATACCTATTAAACCAATCATAAGAATACCAATTACAGTACCTATTAGTAATGCAAATTAGTATTATTAGCATCACTACTCTTAATAGAAAACAGAAAATAATACAAGTAATTAATGAGGTAAATGGAAAGTACTACTTCATGTCATGCGAAATGTGCCATACTTTCTCAACCAATCTTTCAGAATGAGACTTCTATTCGATAGAATTTGCAAGTGTGAAATGAGGATTAAGGATCTCAACACAAAAACTGCTTACCTGTGTGTCAACAAAAAAAATTAAAAATTAAAAATTGAAAGAAAGAAAATTCTAATGGCAAAAAAAATATATATATATATATATATAAACCTATAAAAAATTTCAGAATTGTTGCACTTCTTTTTAGAACAATTCCAACCATACCCTTTATTTTTTAGAAGCTAAAATATAAAAAAAGTAATTCTTTATTTTGCCTAATCCCTCTTTTATCTTTATACACTAATCTTTAGTTTACCTATTTATAGACACAAACTGTTTGAAGAGTCATCAAAGACTCTTCAAATGCAGCTAGCATTAAAGTATTTTGTTAAAATAACTATGGTAATAGTTAGACCATTGAAGTGATTAAAATATAATGATACTAGCTATTATAGCTAACAAGACTCATTAAAGAGTCAGTTGGAGATGCTCTTAGAAAGGGAAAAAAGAATGACTAATACTACATGCATCAATTATTGCACTAACTAGTGTACCAATTGATGATGTGACATAATTTAAGATATTTTTGATATTTGTAATTTGTATAATAAGTGGGATTAATAATAATGTCATAACTAGTGTAGTTAGTACATGCGAGTGTTTTAGTCAAAAAGTTAAAAAGCTACTAAAAAAATCAAAAAGCTCATAACTTATACCAAAAATTCAAAGATTCCATACTTTTTGTACATCTTTATGTAAAAAATCAAAAAGTCATTCCAAACATATTAATTTTTTTACCTCATATTTTAGCTAAAAAATTAAAAAATTATTAAAATAGTCTGTTTCCAAACGAGCCTAATTGGTGCATGTAGTAGCACTAAAAAAGAATGGGAATTACAATAAGTAATTGAGAAATGAAAAGTTTCATCTTCGGTTTTGAAACAATTTCTGGAAGTTTTGAAATGATTTAATAAGTTCAATTTGTAAGACTTCGGAATTATACAAAACACAAACACAACTTTTAAAAAAAATGATTCATGGCAAAGGAGATCCTAATTGCATTGAATATTCCGTTTGTCAAGTTATAGATGCAACAGATTGATTAAGCAAACGAATTTCAGGTTTGAAAACCCATTAAAAAAAAGTGAAAATTGTAACAACTCAGATTTTTAATTATTCTATCGAATTTATACTAATATTATTTAATCTCAGTTCAGAAAATATATAATTTATTATATATTATTATGGATAATTTTGTAAAATAATATAATTATTAAAAATTTAGAGGCCAAAATATAAATAAATAATTAAGTAAATTTGGATAAACTTTGAATTAATAGAGAACTAATAAGAAGATGGCACGTGGCAGTTTGCTTGGGCATCACGAATTGAATTTGTATAAATGAGGGAGAAGTTGACTCAGTAAGAAAGGAAAAGAAAAGAAGACCAGGAAAGGAAAGAAAAGAACGAAAAAGAAAGAAAGAAGAGAGGAAAAGAAAGGAGGAGAAAGGAAAAGAAAAGTAGTGGAAGTTAAGAAAATCTTTGATAGTGAAAAGAAATAGTAAGGTATTAAAGTTAAGGTGAGTTATATAATACCTTGAGTCACCAAAATGTATTTTCCTTATATTTTGACTTACCAAAATCTATTTTATACAAGTTATATTTTATTCGTATATTTATAAAAGTTATGTTTTACAAAGGTTTTAGTTACGTAGATTATTTTATGAACCCTATTTGCTTAAAAGGAAACCCATGGATGTGTTTGTTTTACTCTTAAACAATATTTGGCTATGACCTTATATGAAAATATGTTTTGTAAGTACCACCACGGGAGTCCCATGCCTTGGGGGACTTAAATAACCATTGGCTAGTGAGTCCCATGTCTTGGGGGACTTAAATAACCATTGGCTTAGTGATTGACCACTTTGTGGTCCAGTGTTTGTCGTGGATCCATTGACCAGTGTAGTACTTGGCACTTAGTGATGTACCGTGGTTATGGTTATATAGTGATTTCCGTATTACGTATTATATGTTAAATGATCTCCGTATTATATAAAATGCATTTTAATATCAAACTCTTTTTGGCCCAACTAATTATCCATGGTGAATTTTATGCCTTATACTCTTGGTATAATATTTCTCACTCTGCCATGAGCTTATAGTTTTTTTACCACTTTCAGGTGACATGTCGGGACCAACGTGTGGGGTAGGCACAAAGCACTTTTATTGATGTATTTTTTTTATGTAAATATTGGCCTTTTTGGCCAATACATTTTGTAATAAAAATAGAAACCCCAATGATTATTTTAGTACCCTTATTTAAATATTTCTTCCGCTTGCGTTTATTAAATTGTTTAAAGATTTGGCCGGAGGTAACCTCGGTTACTGGTCATCACGATGCTTAACCCTTGGATACGGGGAGCGGGTCGTGACAAATGGTATCAGAGCAATGGTTTATAAAAAAAAAAAAAAAATTATTGGAACATAGGACACATGCACATTTAAGAAGTGAGATAGCGGGTAATTAGTACCTAAATATTATATTTTGTTCGTCGATTTAATTATATTATAATTTTCTATGATTTTATATATATATATATATTAATTTTTTTTTGTGTACATAATTTGTGAAAGATATTAGATATAATTTACGAATGAAAAAGAAACAAAAGATGTCAAACACCCACAAAAAAATTTATAATATAATTAAATATACATAAATTCTAATTTAGTATTAAAAAAAAATTTCGACTTTTTAAAAGTGGGTTTCAATTTTAAAAATACTAATTTTGAAATTATTTCCAATCAATGAAAAGTTCATCTCAAATTTTTTTCAACTCTCACATATGATTATGTCATTGTGGTCTCATTTTATTTTCATTTATTTATTTTTATCGCAAACAATACGAGTGAAAAGTTTTTAAAGTCACCAATTATTTCTCATTTTGGCCCAAACTAATTTTTGACAAGTAGACAGTGAGTGGTTTTTGGTAAAGTTTTTTTTTTTGAGGTACTATTTCTATCAGATTAATCATCTAATACATATTTATCAGAGTGCGCAACGGATAGTTTGTACATATAACAAATTTCGAGGACGAAATTTTAAAAGAGGGAAGATTGTAACAATCCAGATTTTTAATTATTCTATAGAATTTATACTAATATTATTTAATCTCAGTTCAGAAAATATATAATTTATTATATATTATTATGAGTAATTTTGTAAAATAATATAATTATTAAAAATTTAGGGGCCAAAATATAAATAAATAATTAAATAAATTTGGATAAACTTTGAATTAATAGAAAACTAATAAGAAGGTGGCACGTGGCAGTTTGCTTGGGCATCACGAATTGAATTTGTATAAATGGGGGAGAAGTTGACTCAGTAAGAAAGGAAAAGAAAAGAAGACCAGGAAAGAAAAGAAAGAAAAAGAAAGAAAGAAGAGAGGAAAAGAAAGGAGGAGAAAGGAAAGGAAAAGTAGTGAAAGCTAAGAAAATCTTTGATAGTGAAAAGAAATAGTAAGGTATTAAAGTTAAGGTGAGTTATATTATACTTTAAGTCATCAAAATGTATTTTACTTATGTTTTGACTTACCAAAATCTATTTTATACAAGTTATATTTTATTAGTATATTTATAAAAGTTATATTTTATAAAGGTTTCACTTACGTGGATTATTTTATGAACCTTATTTGCTTAAAAGGAAACCCATGGATGTGTTTGTTTTACTCTTAAAGAATATTTGGCTATGACCTTATATGGAAATATGTTTTGTAAGTACCACAACGGAGTCTCATGCCTTGGGGGACTTAAATAACCATTGGCTAGTGAGTCCCATGCCTTGGGGGACTTAAATAACCATTGGCTTAGTGATTGATCACTTTGTGGTCCAGTGTTTGTCGTGGATCCATTGACCAGTGTAGTGCTTGGCACTTAGTGATGTACCGTGGTTATGGTTGTATAGTGATTTCCGTATTACATATTATATGTTAAATGATCTTCGTATTATATAAGATACATTTTAATATCAAACTCTTTTTGGCCCAACTAATTATCCATGGTGAATTTTATGCCTTATACTCTTGGTATAATATTTCTCACTCTGCCACGAGCTTATAATTTTTTACCACTTTCAGGTGATATGTCGGGACCAGCGTGTGGGATAGGCACAAAGCACTTTTATTGACGTATTTTTTTTATGTAAATATCGACCTTTTTGGCCAATACATTTTGTAATAACAATAGAAACTCCAATGATTATTTTAGTACCTTTATTTAAATATTTCTTCCGCTTGCATTTATTAAATTGTTTAAAGATTTGGCTGGAGGTAACCTCGGTTACTGGCCATCACGATACTTAACCCTTGGGTACGGGGAGCGGGTCGTGACAGAAATTATTGGAAAATCCCATTTAGGAGGGTGTTGGACCGAGAGATCCTTCTTTATTTTTAATATTCTTGGAAGTCCCATTTTGTTGGTAATTCTAACGGGGAGATCCCATTTTGCTGATTTTGGGGTGGACTATGTGACTATTTTGCCCTTGTTCGGTGTGGTAACAATTCTTTTCGGTATGGTAATCCCATTCATTACGAATCTGATTTCGGAAGGAAGATTTTGGGGGGAGGGGGGACAGGCTGCTGTGTATTTCAAGAATGTGTGGGTGGTGTAATGTACCATACTGAATAGATTGTTGTTTGTGGTGGTTTTGGTTGCGAGGCTGCGAGCATAAGAGTCGGTGGTCGTCATTGCACCCAGGTAATGTATTCGGTGGTGTGGTTATGCGGTTGTATGGGGGGTTCTCACCGTGTTGATTTGTGTGGGAGAATAGGGATGTCAATGTTGTGCGTTATGAGATGATGTCAATGTGGTGGAGGGGGGGGAGGGAGTTGGATGGTTGATGGGTGTATCACTACAGCAAAACTAACTATTTACGGCTTCAACTTTGTGGCATATATTAAATGCGTGTCGTAATTAGTATATTCTATGACACTTTTTTTTTTGCAAGCCGTTAGTGGTTTTTCAATAACGCCATACATACTATGTAAGTTGTTAATTCATATATTTATGGCATATAAACGTATACCGTAAAAAATGTATATATTCACGACCTAAAAAATATGTTGTAAAATACTTGCACTTAAAACGACATACATTTTATGTTGCAAAATATTATAACTTTATACGGCATGCATTAACATGTTGTGAAAACTTCTGCAAAAAAAAAAAAATTCATTCCGAAATTGCTAAAGCATTTTTTTTATGGCATGCAAAAGCATGCCGTAAAAAATGCATATTTTCATTGCATACAAAAATATGTTGTAAAATATTTGCCCTTAATACGACATACAATTCATGTTGTAAAATATTATAACTTTATACGGCATGCATTAGTATGTCGTGAAAACTTTTATTAAAAAAAAATTTAATCCATTTTTTTTATTTAAAAAAGCTAACAATTTCCAATCAAGCTTCTCACTTTAGATTTTCATAATTGAGGACAACGTAAAAAATAATTTATACATTATTTTATAATTTAGGGTCTCTTTTAAGGGATAATTGCACCCAGTGGGGTTTTGGGAAAAAAAAAATTACATATTCATGAAAAAGTTCATAATTTTAATGATTAATATTTATATGGCTTCTCACTAACTTGGAATTATTTTTTTAAAAAAATTACCTTGATTTGATATTTTCCCTTCTTTTAATAATTTATTTATTTTTTACTTTTTAGATGTGCCTAATCTGAATACAACTAAAAAGTAAAATATTTGTAAAAAAAAATATAATAAAATATAATATATATGAAATGTATTAAATTTTATATTTTTTTGAATTGAGTGATTTTTTTAAAAAATTAAAAAATAATTTTCTTTTAAATATATGTAAATTATTTGAATTTAAAAAGTTAAAAAAAAAAATATTTAAAATATTTAAAAACTTACAATAACTAAAAAAAAAAAAAAAACTCAAAAACATTATTTTATCCCTGTTCACCACTCTCAGGGGTGTTTTGGAAAGTTGGTAAAAAGCTGCCTTTTTGACTTTTTTAGCTTATTTTGTCTTTTTATGGGTAAGTTATGTGAGAGGTGATGTGACCAAAAATAGGTAAAAAACTGGAAACTCGCTTTTTACCAGTTTCCCAAAAGAGCACTCAGACCTCTCTCATTCTATTTGTACAAGTTTTTGCCCCAAACCCTCTCTCTCTCTCTCTCTCTCTCTGTGCGAGCTCTCTTCAAGCATTGCCTTGATCGATCGCGCGACTTCACATGAATTCACAATGTATGTCATTCACTTTCTCTCCCGATTGATCAATTTTTCTGTCTCTTGATCATTTTTTCCCAAAAACTTCGAATTCATCATTTTATTTGAAGTTAGGGTTTGGTGAATGGAAATGTAGACTACGAAGCCAAATGCATTCTCAATCAATTGATCTCAAACCCTAACTGATCTCTACACTCGAATGATTTAGTGAGTTTGAAACTCGTCATACTTCATATTTTTTCTTGTGTGTGTTTACTGGATCAATTGAAGTTTGTATTGATAATTCAGTTTTTTCAGAGATCGGGCAGATCACTAGACAAGTCGATTTCAATGCTTCAGATGGAGCTGGTTGCTACTCGAAGTTCTCAAGAGATGAGGAGATCTGATGAGTTCACTCACATCTCCGAATTGACTCATGAGGGCTTGCCAAGGAAGAAGGCTTTCATAGTTATTGGAATTAATATTGCTTTTAGTAGTAGGAAGAGACGTGATTCGGTTAGACAAACTTGGATGCCTGTAACGACCCTCACTCTACTCTAGTCATGCTTGCATATATTACATGATCTTGTCTTGATGTGTTGCATTTTTGCAAAACTTGATTTGATTTGCTTAAGAGTTCTTGCATGTTTTGTACCCTGCTTGGTGTGAGTTTAGCCGAGGTCATCTTTAGCCTAGAACTTCCTTGGAACCACTTTGTTTGACCTCCACCTTCGCCCTGACATATTGGCCGAGATGTCATTATCTAGGCCGAGGTGTTCATCACTAAGGCCGAGATGTGTACTATCTGGGCCGAGATGTCACCTTTGTACCTAAGTGATCTTGTCCTGGAGTGGTATGACCTAGACCGAGGTGTGGCACATCTAGGCCAAGGTGTGGCACAGCTTAGTCAAGTGTTGTCCTTCCTAACCGAGATCATTCCGAGTACTCCAAGCCAAAACAAAAACTCATTAGAAATCATGCATGAATCCTAAGTATACAGAAATGCCTAATGCAACACATGCAAGAATGCAAACTATAGCAGGCTCGGCTATTCTAAATATGGCATATGGAATGCTACAGCTAACATGTATCAACTTAGAATTGAAATACAAATGCAGTTAGTATGATGCGCCGAGCCCGGTGCATGCAAAACAGATGAATGATGCAAACATGCTGTCATACTGTATGCTAATTGAAATATGCCCTAATCTAACCATCATAAGCAGGTAAATAAAAGGGAAGAAAGACGTGGGGTTGGAAGACATACATCACACTCACGCACACTTATTACAATTATGCCCTCGCACAGAGGGTCCGAATAAATATGCAGTCCCGAATAAAAGAATATTACAGTCCAAATAATACAGTCAAATAATGTACAAATTCCTAATTAATTAACAAATTAACTAAGAAAATAAATAAACTGGCATGCAAGCCAGGGACTGCCTTGATTCCATTCCGGATGATGAATGATGCATGCCCGGGTTGTTCCTTTGCGCGAAAATCCATGACGATGCCCCAATTAGCCTCTGTTTACACCTTTTCTTGAAATGCGTGCCAAGCTTTGAAAAGTTGCCGATTCTTCATTTTGCTGCAACAGAGAGCAAGAAAGGGACATGGCAATGTATTTTCACAGATATATGCATTCCTCGATCCTCGTGCACCAATCACGCATATCGATGCATGATGGCCGAGGAGTCGAAATGTGCAACTCAATATAGAGATGAATGCACGTGTAAACACAACAAGAACCTAACTCCATCATGGATAATCCGGAGTGTCGGTGACTTGGAATTGAGACACGTTCCGTCACTCGGAGTACGAAACTACCTCGTTTCCCGTGCCCGAGTTAACTCCTATCCCGAACACGATGTAATATGCATGACATGCATGAAAATGCAACTAAGATACAATCCTAACATACACAATGTTATGGAATGGCATACACAATGCAACAAGGTACTACACAACCGAGCATACACAATGCTATGGATGAAATGACATATGCAATGCAATAATGGACTTACACCAACATGAGAGAGCCTCAGCCACACTCACATAGAGGCCATCAGATGAAAACAAGACAACTCGAAATGCGTGCACGCGTGCACGCAAACCGAGGACCGACCCTCAGGCACCGAAATGCCACTCTAATGAGACATGGCAAAGACATGGAAAATGATATGCAAACATGAAATTTTCAGTAGCAAAATGAGGGGTAAAACAGCCCCGAAACGAGGCGAAATGACACCCGATGCATGGAATTTCTCCCGAAATGCAAAACTAGGTACATGAAATGGCTTACAGCTATACAAAGCATGCATAATTGGACATGGAATGAAAAGACAGAAGCAAGGCAGCCCCTAGACAAGCATTTTTACAGTTCAAAGCATGGTCAAACAGCAAACAAAAAGATGGCAAAACTAGCATGCAAAAATGGCCCTAAATGTGAGATAATGAAGCAAGTGGTAGATGCAAAGCCCAAACAGAAAAAGGCTCTTCTACAACACTGAAGAGGGACCAAAAAAATGACTACTTACAGTTTATGGAAACCCCCAAAACAATATACAAGTATGCTCAACATGCTATGCAAGGTAGGCCCAAAAGAGGTCAAAACACAAAGTATACAAAACATTCATCAACAGCCAAGACCCTTAATAAAACATGAATAATGGTTAAAATAAGACTGTTTTCAGTTCTGTAAAAAGACCAAAAACAGAAGCATAATGGGCTAATAAATCATGCAAAAATGGGGACCAAAGAGGGATATAATGACAAGTGGCACGTGGAGGTCCCAAACAGTGATGAGCCCTTCTTCAATGTTGAAGAGGGGCTCAAAATAAGCTCACTTACAGTTTACATCATGCTCCAAACAGATCACACATAGGCCAAAAATACTATGCAAGATATAGCATACAAGGGGGATAATGAAGCAAGTGCAAGATAGGGACCTCAAATGCCAAAATTCCCTAATGAAACATGAAATGGAGCTCAAATAAAGGGTACTTTCAGTTTTGGTCGGAGCTCAAAACAGCAAGCATGTATGGCTAAGAAATGATACAAAATTAAGCTCAAAAGAGGGGAAATAGAACTTACCCTTGAAGACAAGTCTTTAGCAACTCTTGGCTTGAGTTTGCAGCACCTCTAAGCTCTGGAGAGCACCTCAAACTGCTGGAGTGGAGGATGGAAGGGTAGGGCTTGGTGGTGTAATGTAAAGTGGTGTAGGGTTTGAAGAATGGAAGCTTGAAGATGGAGAGGGAAAGGGATGTAATGCAAAGGGCTTGAAGGGAAATTTTCTAACCCTAAACTAGCAGCTGGAGCTGCTGATATATAAGCCAAGGAGGGGAAAAAGGGGGAAAATGGAGGGAAAAATGAGTCAAGTTTCCCTCCAAAAGTGCCAAACCCTTGGACATGGGTGAAGTGTAAAAACAAATACATGGCTGGAATGCACTCACAGGGGCAAAAATGGCCGGCCAGTTTAAAAGGGGGAAAAAAGTCATCCACCAGGTAAGTGGCCGGCCGGCCAGAAAAAGTGGCCGGCCGGCTAGGTCAAAGGGAAAAAAGTGCCGGCCACACCCTATCATGAAGCCCTAGAAGTTAGCTTTCCAATGGCGCAAACCTTGCATTAAAATTCCTCCTGTAGAAAAAGTTATGCCCTTTTCCGTGAAGCCGCGCAGATTCGGTCCAACCAGACTTCAACCAACCACATCTCCCCCCCCCCCCCGGACTTGGACTTGGGAGATTCTTGAGTGCAAAATGAAGCCCCGGAAGTAAGCTTTCCAATGGTGGTGGCCTCATACTTAATTCCTCTTGTGCAAAGGGTTATGCCCGTTTCGGTGAAGCCGCGTAGATTTTTCTCCTTCCCGGATTCATGCTGAACCACTTTTGACCAAAAAGAAGTTGGCTTTTCAGCAGAATTGCTGCCCTCCCACCCTCCTACAAGCTTTCTAACAGTGAAAATAAGGTCTCACCAAAAATGAGCCCAAACCGATGCAAAATGAAGGTTCGGGGGCCGAAACGCGCAGGCCGAGGCCCCGAAAACTGGCTGTTAGGCACCGGGAGTGGTGTTCGACCACGAAGTGGGTCTCTCAGACCTCAATGTCCCTCAAAAGGGAGTAAATAAGATGCATGCCGAAAACCGGACAATAGGAGATGGTTAAGCGGTCCCGAACCGAGGCACACGGCCTGACGGCTCCGAAAATCGGGAACCGGGCTCCGAAATGGGAAAAATGGCCTACAGCCACAAAATGTAGCCCACGGCCACTGAGAGATGGTCTACGGGACCTCTCCCTCCCCTCAGAAAAGAAATAGAGAAAATCGAGCCTGGTTCGCAAACCGAGGCAAAGCACAAAAAGAGTCCGGAAGTCCGGAGCAAGGCTCGCAGCCGAGACTCTAAAACTTCTGGACGAGCACGATATGCAGTTCACCAAGCGCTCAACTGGTGATGTCTGAGTCTCAAGGTCGGTCAAAAATGGGGTGTCTACGCACA